CACAGAAGCACAGGAGGTGCGGCTGGAAGGGGCCGGAGGGCCATCAGGCCAGTCCCTGCTCAGGGCAGGACTCAGGCAGACCCTCCCTCTCAGGGGGCTGCCCAGGGGCAGCTGGAGGGCCTGCAGGGAGGCAGCACAAACCTCCCTGGGTCACGGGCCCCACTGAGCTGCTCCCACCGAGAGAAAGTCAGGGAGCACAAGTCCCAGACGGCTCCTGTTGCGTGAATCCGCCCAGGGTTAAAGGCGAGCAGGAAATGGGAAGCCCACAGCAAGCCTTTGGTGTGGGGGGCTCACGCTGCTGCCCCCTGGAGAGAGACGTCCTGCAGGGGAGAATAAAACTAATGGCAGATGCACTGGGAATGTAAGGGAGGGTTGAAATGGGTACTGGATTGAGGCAGCCGGAATGCCCGGAAACACAAGCCCAGCACCTGCATTTTCTCTCTCTGCAGAATCTATCAACTTCTCTTCAATGGAATTAAAGGTCCAGAGAGGGAGACGATACTCACGTGGCTGCCATTCGAGCAACTCGCTGTCTCCCTGTTCTTCTGCAGAGACAGAATTAGACCATTAGAGCTGGAAGAGACTCCTGGAGAAGCCCTGCCTCCCCCCAGGAACCAAGGCTTTTGCAACATAGAAAACCCCAGCCATGTTCTCCTTAAGTCTCCGCCTGACCACCCTCGGGAGCCATTTGAGGCAGCATCCACACACAGGAGCCTGGAAACCCGATTTTTCAAGAACGCACACGCAGAGGGCTGGCCACACCATGCACAGGGCCGCCTGGAAGAGTGGAAGAGTTGCCACAGAAGTAGCGGACGGCCTCGTGGAAGCAACCCTTTCTGTGGCTTGAATGCTGCTTCAAGGAGCGTTTCCTATTTCCGCAAATGGTGTTGCTATTCTTTTGCCCCACAACAAATTTATCGTGAATGAGGGGAGAGCCGGGACAGGTTCACCTGCCGAAACGAAGCTCCGGCCAAAGCCGCACCATTCAAAACATGGAAGAAAGTCCAGAGGGCGTCTCTGCCTCT